CATTACAACTTTCTCAATGCTGTAATGTTTAAGAGCCTCTCTTGCAGCTGATCCTTCCCCACCTCCCATAATAAACACTGTTTTGGGACTGATCATCAAAAAAAAAAAAAAAAACAAAAAAAAAACCATCAGTACCAAAAAAAAATAATTAAAGTCGCGCCCACTAGGTGAGGTAAATTGCTTCATACCAAGAATTTCTCTATTTTCAGTACATAAACCGAAAATTCTAGTTAAGAATAAATGAATCTTAACCATCTTACGACGTAACAGAAAATGAAAACTACTATAAAACGAAAAATAGAATATATAGTCAGTACAGACATAAAGATAGATCTATGAGAAAAATTAAGTACTTGTCATGAAGTAAGAGAGCAGGATGGATCAAACTTTCATGGTATATAAACTCATCATTTTCAGCACTCTGCATTTTTCCATCAATCACCAAAACCTGCATATCATTCATTTATACATTATCCATATATTAAAATCCTAAAATAGGTTTAGAAAATTTTAATTTAATTTTGGGTGGGGTGGGGGGTTGTGGTTATAGCCAACCTTTCCAAAGTGCTTTGTGTCTAAAAGTGCCACATCTTGAAACTTGGTGGTATCTTTGTATAGGACACTGCAATATTTCATTGTTAGACTCAACGAAGAAATCAGGAATTTCGTTAAGGAGTTTCATATAAGATATAATATATATGCATGAAAATTAATATTTATATATATATATAGATATATATAATTTTTGGCGTATGAATGTTGGCATTCATTCCTGTTTATGGTCTAAAGACCATTTGAGGTTCGGCTTGAAGAGTCTCTTCAAACCATTGAATATTCTCCCCATTTTCCTCACAATTTTCAGAAATGACATTTGAGTGAACAATTTCTTTCTCAATTGTTTGCTCCATTCTTCAATTAGAAAAAATAAAATAAAATGAAAAGTTCTCTTTATATGGAGCAATAGGCTATATAAACTCTGATTAATATATAAAGATATATACATGTCAAAATTTGTACATCATTTCAAATTTATTTCTGGATTGAAGATTATATAAATCTGATCTCATTTTTCATGTGAACATTCAAAATCAAGTCAAATTTTTGGATAATGTATTAGTTATTACTTTTTATTTTATCTATTCTTCATTACTTAATTGTCCTAGGTGGTTGGGACTTGGGTTGGAGGATATGAGGAAAAATAAATTGAATGCATCATCCATTTTTTATTTGTCAACAATCAACTCATTCGAAAAAATTAACATTTATTTTTCATCTCACA